GGCGCCGGAGGCGCCAGCCCTGCTCGAGGCCGTGGCCGCCTGGCTCGGTGGTGGGTCCGAGCTGCGGCTGCAGGAAGCCGCCACAAAGGTGGGCACAGTTTTGGGGGGAGATGAAAACCCAGGATAAATGGAGGGCGATGCGTCAGGAGAGAGGGGAGGGCCTCATCAGAGCCCTTGATCATTCCATGATCCATGAAGCGATGTGCCATCACAGGCCTGGGGCATCTCGTCACCTTGGATCACCTCGCGGTCTCAAGGGCCCATGGGGGCCTGCAGCATCCCCACATCCCGCCCCCAACATTGCCCGTGCTGCAGGCGTTCATGGGCCTGGCCGCACTGGACAAACCGGCTGCCACACGGCTGCTCCAGGCTGCACTCTCGCGCCCCGACGACCCTGCTGTCGACGCCCCCCCGGGGCTGCTGGCGTGCCGCCCTGCCAAGCTGGAGGCCATGCTCAGGGCGGTGGAGAGGCAGGGCCTGGAGGAACCGGCTGCGGCCTGAGTGTCATGCGAGCCAGGAACGTGCACGAGAAGCTCGAGGCTCTCGAGCTGTGGGCTCCGTGACACAGCCATGCCCCGTCCCTGCAGTCTTTACATACATACGGCATGCATCGGATCACAGCAAAATTTCTGGGAGCACGGCACCCCAGGAGCCATGTCTAAGGGGAAGCGTGCTGGTCGAGATGGTCATAAGAAACGGGGACCGTAGGCACGAGGACTCCTGAGCGTGCTCGCAGCACACGCGGCGAGCCGTGCAGGCCCTGACACATGGAGCTGCGCCATATGCGTGCGGCGACTGGCTCTCCGGTTCCCCCCAAAGCCTGCCGCCTGTGTCCCGCCTGGCGGACGCAAGATTGCAGTGGCCCTGCTCGAGCTGCCGGCAGCCGCCACCACGCCATTGGTGGTGGTGCTGGTCTGCCAGTCGTCAGGACTGTCGCCCTGCAGGGGTTGCCGAGGAGAGCCAGCTGAGGGACGGACTGGGTGCGTGCGCACAAAATGTCGACAGCAGAGCACCTGTGACTCACACGCACATCACCATGCACTCCCTTCCTCCAGTCCTACCGGCTTGTAGGTGTACAGGTCGTTCCACACACGGCCCAGCGCCTCCTCCGCACGCTCAGCGGGGATGGCGAGCCACGCGCCGTCCGTCGCCTGCTTCACCAGGCCCCAGGTGCGCAGCGTGCGCAGCGTGTGCTCGCCATCCATCTCCACGTTTGCGTCGAAGGTCTTGCTCAGGTACTCGGCGTAGGCCGTCGCCAAGTCCTCGGCTGCACGAGGGAGGGGGGGGGGGGAGGGGGGGGAATCGGAGAGGGGATTTCGGGAGCGGCGGACTGGTAGAGGGACTCGGATGGCTGCCATGGACCCAGAGATCCATGCCGCCCAGGCAATCATGCAGCGCAGTGCAAGTCGGCACCGTACAGAACGTTGCAGTGCCAGCTGGAGAGGTACCTTCCAAAACCCCACTCACTGGCCAGGGCTTTCTTGGCCTGCTCAAGGACGCAGTAGGCGACAAACAGCTCGCGCACGCGCTGCCTGTGGTGTTGTCAAGGGAGCATTCTCCTTCAGACACCCGCCGACGCACAGGGATACGCGGGGAGGGACACCAGCGTCTGCGCACGCCCACGAGCACCGGCCGATCTGTCATCCCCATGCTCACCGGGTGACCTCGTCGGTGAGGCCCGACAGCACGGCTTGCTGTGCAGCCAGGGTCTTCTCATACATCATCTGGCGGCGGTGAGCGTGTGTATGGGTGGGAGGGTAGTGGGGACGTCGGCCATGGCCCCAGGCACTCTTGGGCCACTGCAGCATGGGTCACCCAGCGTCACATACCATCACCCCGTCACAGTGCACCCCAGGGCACCGTCAGTCCCTTGCCTGGGTCATTTGCTGGGAAACAGACGCCTTCTCCGCCTGCAGCTGCATGGCCACCTGGCCGGCTCGAGACAGAAGGATGCCGCCCAGTGCCTTGAGCAGGTTGCCGCTGAAGATCACGCCCATCGACTCAGACTGCGGCGCGGCGGGGGAGGGGGGGTGGAGAGCGAGCGAACCTTGCTGCCGGGAATCATGGACACTTGGTGTAAGGTGATTGAGTCCCTGGGGCAAGCACACCAACACCCCGTCAAGAATAATTGCCCCACCCGCCACCCTCGTGGCCTGACCTGGAGGAAGGTGGTCAGCAGGGCCACCAGGCCGGAGATGACGGTGATGCCAACCGACACGTACTGATTGGGGGGGATGTACACTGTCTTGTCGGGCAGCATCATCTCCAGGTCTGCCAGGGGGACAGACCTGAAGCGCTTCAGCACCATCGTCTGCTTCAGCATCTCCTGTTCAGAAGGTATGGAGCGCGAGGCGGTGGGTGAGGAAAGCGTACTCTGGTGATGGAAATCTGTGGGGGCGAGGGAACCTGCACATGGCCACCTCCAAGCCAAAAGCTCACCCGGCCCCAACCACAAACCCCTCGCACCCTGTCCATGCCTTCCACCTGGCCACCTCTCTTCCATAGAGGCACGTCCTTTGGCTCCTCCCCGTCCTTGGCCATGGCTGGGCGATACAGCAAGATGATGTCTCGCAGGCAGACCTCCTGGAGAGCAATCGGCTTGAAGAGCTGCTTCAGCACCGCCTTGCCGTTTGGGAACACACTGCATGAGGGGAGGGAGGAGGTAGAGTCGAATAGAAACCCAGTATGCATCTTGTGAATACTACATGAAAGGTAAAAATGTGAGACGCCACCCATGTAAGAAGTGTCAGCAAGGCATTCATAGAGCAGTTGCAGCTGCTGCACAAGGCACCGTGGATTCTAGCATACCACTTTCCAGATCAACCCAGAGTGATCAGAACCCGGAGCACTTGCTGACAAGGGACAGACTCCCCTGTCCCCCAAGCCCCCCTCCCAAACCCCTCCCAAACAGCGCCTGCTCCCGGGGCTTCACCCACGTTCGGAAAGTCTGGCGGTCCAGCATCCAGTTGTGCCGGGGCCCCGCACGCTGACTGGACTCCGCGAGGTCCTCTGACGACTTGACGGGGCTCTCAGAGCCGGATGAGGACTGCTTCCCAGTGTCTGAGGCATCCGGCTGGACGTAGGGGCTGTCGCCCAGGCCCGGAGGTGCCTTCTCCTGCAGCTCCTTGTCTGCGCCAAACACGCGGGCGACGGAGATGAGCGCGGTCCAAAGGGGCTGGAGGATGTAGAAGGAAATTAGGCAGTCGATCTTCTGCTGGATGAATTGATCCTCTACCGTGACCTAGGGGGGGTCAGAGTGGGTGCAAGGCGCTTTTAATCATTTGACTTCGGGGCTTGGGATTGCATTTGCTCAAGCACTTTGCATGTGGATCCCCAAGGTCCACTGGGCAGAGGCAGGCACGCTGCATCATTCACCTCCCCAAATGCCCAGTAACAGTACGAAGCACGTGATTTCTCCAACCCACTATCCCATTATGAGCCAACCCCACCATATCCACGCCACGGTGCAGGATGATAGCGCGGTCGCTCAGAGGCTCCGGCAAGCGAGATGCTGCGGCAGCTTCCGGCCGACTCTCCCAGTACCGAGAGAGAAGCCCAGGGTCCATCGCATCATAGTTCACGGTGACTGGCAGCGTGAACTTGTGAAAGCAGGGAAGGGAGAGAGGTCAGCACATCACGATGACGAGCGCTGCATGCACAAACCAGAGGCGCGGATGGACATCATTTCATTCAGACTTGTCGGATCGTGTAGGTCCATTTTCCAAGTATTTGCTCAGAACAAAGTATTGCACGGCATCCAGCCGTGCGGCAATGGGTGAATACCTGCCTCACAATTCTGCGACCCAAGAGCAACCAGGCCCTTCACCCAGAGGTTGCCTTCTCCGCACCAAGAAATCATCTGCAAAGGCTGCTTCCAGCTCCCCCACATTCAGGACCCTGAAGTGAGCACGGTTTGCCAGATGCAGGAAGTTGTTGAGGAATCGGGCCTCACAATCGTGGGTGGCTGCAGAGTCGGCGCTGTCGCTGGATCCCAGCGTCACGTTGCTCCCTTGGCCCATTCCCGAGAAGTATGCAAAGTCATCCTCCAGACGTCTGCCAAGAGGAAAGAGTGGTGGAAAACAGGTTTGGAGAAGGAATGACCAGGTCTTTAGCATTTCACCGAGGTGTAGGCGGCATGCCCCTCCGGATGCCCACAAAGGAGGACCAAGGAGCTGTCCACCACAAAACCCTTCCTCCCACTTGCACGGACCGCTTGATCTGGACGTCCTCCTGAAGCACGACGCGCTGCATGATGTCGTATATATGCATCAAGGAACGATCACCGGTGGGGGGAGGCGAGGCGGCTGGGCATGGGCGGTTTGGGGGTGAGAGTGGGCGAGTGAGAGCGGTGTCTGGACAGCCCTAACCACTTGTCCATGCGGCCGGGCGCAGGCTCAGCCGTGTCGGCATGGGTGCTCACACTCGAAAGACGAGACCAGCTGCCCATCTGGCACATCTAGAAACCTGTCGACGGGGGCCGTGACCCCGTCAGGCAGCACCACCAGCGGTGACTTTTCCATGGAGTCGACAGTCGAGACCCCCGTGCCGAGTCCTTGACTTCGCCCGCTGCGCTTCACAAGTGTGCCTGTGAAGGGATTAGACGCTTGTTTCTGGGTTGACGCCCCACCATGCGCGCCAGACTCTTCAGCTGGGTGTTTGTAGTGAGAATCGTGCCCCTGCGCCCTCCTGCGCCAGCGAGATCTCCCTGTTTTCTGCCGCAACCACAAGGTTTCCATGGACAACCCCTTTCCGATTCTCACGAGGCCGTGCTCGCGCCATGTGATTGGGTAAAAATGATGTTACAATCACTACCTGAGGATGGGATCAGACGTGGCAGCGGTGCAGACAAAAGCATTACTCACACAAATGTTATCTTGCTGTCGCTAGGTGGTGCACAGGGAGGAGGGTAGTCGTGTCTGTGTGGGGGGGTGCACGGCAAAAGGAGGAACAAACAGGTACCACTGAGCTCTCTTCCCTTTTACTAAAAAATTGGGTCGGCCACTTATGTGGACGGGTAGTGTGGGGGCAATGGGGTCGTGAGGTCGGCGCTCGGTGGCCGGGCGGCGTCGGCCGCCCATCGTCGGCCGCCCGTCGTCACGCAGGGGCTGGCGCAACCCCCCTGCGTCGCCCCGGCGTCGGCGCAACCAGCCCGCCGTCAGACGGCGGGTGCGGCGTGCACGGCCGGGGGCGAGGCGCCGCGCGACGGCCCGCCGGCGCCCGCCTGCGTCAGCGCCTCCACCACCCGGCTGACGTCGTCCACGATGACGCCGTGCACTCCGGCGCGGTACTGTTCCTGGACGTACTCCGCGTCCACGTTGTCCAGGCCGTAGGTCATGACCTGGAGGCCCGCGTCCAGCGCGGCGCGCACCGCGCCCGGCTCGGCGCGCAGGCGACCCGCGTGGAAGATGACGCCAGCCAGCTCGGCGGCGGCGGCCCAGGCCACCGCGGCCGCAAAGCTGGTGCGGCGCGGGTCGGCGTGGCGATACGCGCCGCCGCCGGACAGGAACATGACAGCGTCGTCGGGGCGGCGGTGCGCCAGCTCCGCGCAGACGTCGGGGTCGAAGGAGGAGTAGAGCACGCGGCGCGGGGGCTGGCCGCGGAGCGCGCCGCGGCCTGCGCTGCGTCCACGCCCGCCAGGATGGGCCCCAGCAGGCGGTCGACCTCGCGGGAGGGCGTGTGCGCGCGGTGGCTGGGCACGGCCACCTTGACCTCGATGTCGAAGGCGACGTGTGGGGGCATGGCCGCGAAGAGCTCCGCCAGCGAGGGCAGGCGCTCCTCGGTGTCACACTCCCAGCCGGCCAGGGTGGGGTCGTCGCGGTGGGCGGGCTCGTCCCCGCCCAGCGCGCGCAGCAGGCGCGTGCGGCGCCGCGCGCGCTCCGCGGCCGCCGCGTCCTCGGCGCGAAGCCCCGCCACCTGGCCCGCCTTCTGCAGCGGCAGGTCGGCGCTGGTGGGCACCAGCGCGCAGAACTCGGCGTAGGTCAGGTCGGCGATCAGGCGGTTGATGGGGGCCTCAGGCGTGCCCGTGATCACGTAGTTGTCGTGCCAGATGACGGGCACGCCGTCGCCCGTCACCTGGACGTCAAACTCGATGAAGCTGGCGCCCGCGGCGACAGACTTCAGGAAGGAAGGGATGGTGTTCTCGCGGACGGGGAAGCGCAGGGCCGAGGGCTTGGTGGGCGAGGCGGCGCTGTCCCAGTAATTCGCGCCCAGGCTGTGCATGGATGTGAACCAGGGGAGGGGGGGTGAGCATCCCTGAGGCAGGACAGATGGAGGGCGAGCGGCGGTGGGAATGGAAAGGAAGGTGCCGCCAGGCAAGGCTTCGGGGACCCAACCGTCATCCCACCGAGCGAATTATCCATGCGCATACTACCGCCTCAGAAAAAAAATCATTCCCGACCACCCATCTCACCCGCGATGGCCGCCCAGGGCGACCACATTGGATCTGTAGTCCAGGAGCCTGCCGAAACCGGTCCCTGGCTTGCCCTGCACCACGTGATAAGGTTGCAATCTGTTGGTCCGGCTACCGGAGTGGGGCACGCCTGCAGCTCCGAAACGGGTCCGTTCCGGCGCGGAGACGCGTTGGGGGTCCCGAACAGGGGCCCAAGCCCACTCTCTCGATCCGGAGGAAGCCCCGGGATCAGCACGGACCAATCTGGACACTGAACCCCAACCCGTGGTGCCAAGCTGCCAGCCGAACGGCTTACCAGCAAGGGCTCAACGTCGCGTGCCAGGGTCCTGCCGTCCTCGACCGTACTCACGAGTGGGCCGTGCGCCACAGCCATGTTTTGACTCAAATTCAAGCTGGCAGAGGCAACAGCGGTGGTGCTCACACTCCGTCGCAGGGGGTTGAGGAGGGAGGTTGGGGCGGCCACCAGAGCAGGCGCTAGAAGCATCTTGACCCGTCTCTTCTCCCGCTAACTACAATGTTAATCAGTGTATAGAATATGGCATCTTGGCGCAAGCACCGAATCGGCACCGGGGATGGGAATATGCCAACTTCGAGGACGCGGAGAATATTAAGAGCTCCAACGAAACGTGCCCGTGGGTGGGAGCCACGTGGGTCCGTGGGGAAAAGGGGAAGTCGCTCGCTGCTTCTCAGCCAGGACAAACACGCTAAACCCGGAATCTCATATCGTAGATAGGAGACCCTGTCCAGTGATTCCGCGACTCGAGAATATTCGATGACATTCCATGCACACATTCTCCGTCAATCCCGTGGGTTGGAGGGTGTACGGGATCTGATTCTCCATTTTGTCCCTTCTCCTCTCCCTAGAATCAGGGGAACCGCAAGACACATTGCACATTGCTCTCCCCAGTGCGAGTTTTTTCTTGGATTCTGTCACGGATCTGGGTATTGTTGTAATTTTCTTTGGGTTCCTTTATGCCCCAGATCAAAGAATGGGCTGCCGTTCTTGAGGCTGGCGAGGGTAACGGTTTGATCCAAGCATTCTGTCTCAGAGGAAGGGGAGAGGAGATATGTATAAGTTAGGGCTGTCTTGGCACTGTGACCCGCATTGCTCCCTTCAGGTCGTTTGCTCTTGCATGCCCCCATGGGTGTATTCAAGCCTGGAAAGAGATGACTAGTGCCTAAAAGACTCATCTTCGCCCTACGGCGGGCAGAACGCATCATACATGCCGGTACAAACGAGACTGTGTGATGCGATAGAGATGAGCAAACCACGCCCCGCATGCATGCCGCCCTCAAAGAGCAGCACACCTCACACATACCTTATACTCCTGTGGACTTTCGCGCACCGCGGCTCTATACACTGATTTAAGCTCCTGAACAGAATCAGTGAAGCATTGGCGCATCTGCCCGCAGGACCACCTTCCCGCCCCTCGGCGATGGTCGCCAGCGAGAAGGAAGAGGGCGCACGCACTGCCCCAGCAGCATTTGCTCATTCTACCCCCCCGCAAAGCACAGAAAAGTCACAAAATCGGTCTTCGTCACCTGACAGCCCCGTGGTGTTGGCCAACCAGGTGGACCTGGGCCTGGTAGGGGCTGGGCGTCGCTTCCCCACGGATGACTTCACCGCCCGGCAGCTGACATTCGAGGCGGAGGAGCCTCTCCTCCAGGACAATGATGAGCGCTTCTGCCTGCTCCCCGTCAAGTGAGCATGGCCGACCAGCGGCGCAACCCTGCGCCATTTCATGTTGCTTGTGGATGGGAGGCCTGGGTGTGGCCACCTCGCATGCAAGCTACATGTGCCCCCTGCCATGGCGGCCCCTCAGCCCCTCCCCCCTTATCACCTCACTGCAACAGGCACACCGACATCTACGAGTTCTACAAGCAGGCCCAAGCCAGCTACTGGACTGTGGAGGAGGTGGACCTATCCGCCGACATGCGGGATTGGGTGCGACTGACCGACGACGAGCGCCACTTCATCTCCTACATTCTCGCCTTCTTTGCGGCCTCCGACGGTATCGTGCTCGAGAACCTATCTGCACGCTTCATGCAAGGTGGGGCGCAGGTGGATGGTAGAGACTGTAGTCTGCGTGCTGGCGGATGTCAGGGGGTCACATTCGCCTGTCCGATGATGTGTGAAACTCTTGTTTCACCTTGGAGAACTAGACTGGTGCAAGCACCGCCTGGAGATAACGTGATGATGAGGACAGTGTGGAGTATTGGGGTTGTTGGGCTGCTGCGTTGAAGGCCATATCCCGCTGCCATTTACCAGAAGGCAGGTCTTTCCTCGTGATCTCCATATAGCTCTTGCCCTGCCCACTTCTCACTCCTGCCTATCCCTGTCCCCCTTTGCCTTTCCTGTGCAGAGGTGCAGATCCCTGAGGCCCGTGCATTCTACGCATTCCAGGCCGCCATCGAGAATGTGCACAGCGAGATGTATGGCCTGCTGCTGGAGTCGTACATCCTGGACCCTGTCGAGCGAGACGGCCTCTTCCGTGCCATCCAGACCATCCCCTGCGTCAGTGAGTCGCCATGTGCAATCCTTAGTTGGTACTGTGGAATGGAGTAGGTTTACAACAATGTGTTTGCCTGGGAATAGGGTAGCTCCGGCCATCTCTGCCACTCATTGACTTCCCTGTAGTGATTATGTCGCTCGCATACATGGCAGCATGCGCTGCAACCAAGGCCACAAACGAATCTGTCCCATCGGCACCCCCTGTTGAATTCTTTGCCCGGGTCACTCAGCAGGTTCTACTTCAACCACCACCACTCCCGTCTCTGGGAGCACATCCATGTCAAAGCACAAACACACAGTGTCACGCTCCCCCCCACCCCCCACCCCAACACAGGGAAAAAGGCGGAGTGGGCCCTCAGGTGGATCGGCAGCGGGTCCAGCTTCGCGCAGCGGCTGGTGGCCTTTGCCTGCGTGGAGGGCATCCTCTTCTCCGGCTCCTTTTGTGCCATCTACTGGCTCAAGAAGCGGCACCTCATGCCCGGCCTCACCTTCTCAAACGAGCTCATCTCCCGTGATGAGGGCCTGCACACCGACTTTGCCTGCCTCCTGTACCGCCGCCTGAGGCACCCCCTGGACCAAACCCTCGTGCACGCCATCGTGGCCGAGGCAGTGACGCTCGAGCGCGGTTTTCTCTGCGACGCGCTGTCTGTGGCGCTGGTGGGGATGAACGCGGAGGCCATGGGCCAGGTGGGTGCCGCTGAGTGGGGTTGGGGAGGTGGGAGGCGTCGCGCTCTCTGTCTGCAATGGTGGCGTGCGTCGTAGGACGGGATGTGTGACGACCAGCTCGTATTGCAGAAGGGCCGAGGGGCACATCAGGGTGTGGCACCCGCGGAAAGGGGTTGGAGGGCATGCAACTCGCATGGCTGAGCACTTCAACCCCGCTCCCTCGCTCCCACTGTCCATCCTGCAGTACATCGAGTTTGTGGCGGACCGCCTGCTTGTCGCCCTGGGCTGTGACAAGCTCTACGGCTCAGTCAACCCCTTTGACTTCATGGACCAGATATCCCTGCAGTGAGTACTGGGTGCCTGGGACAGCGGCTCAGGCCATGGGCATGTAGAGGGAAGGCGTGCGTGCCTGTGCGAGAGCTTGTTGCTGACCAAGCTGACCTGATCCTTTTGCGCCCTCAACATCGTTACCACCCCTCACATCAACCAGGGGCAAGACCAACTTCTTCGAGCGGCGGGTCGGGGAGTACCAGCGGGCAGGGGTGATGCGGAGCGCGGCCGTGGCCAACGGCGAGGTACGCGGCGAGCAGCATGTCTTCACCACGGACGCCGATTTCTGAGCATCAGCAGGCTTGTGGAGCAGGCGTGCTGACTCAGCCATGTCGGTGCTGGGCTGCCAACCCTCTGCCATTTATCCTTTGTAGTGCTGAGATACTTGAAGCGTAAAGTTGATGGCACATTCGTTGTATTGCTACACCTAGACACTGGATGGGGTGGCGCGTTGTGTACCGGTTGTGTAGGGAGGGGAAATGGTGTAGAGATGGTCCACCTCCGTCTTCGCGCGCGCGTTCGAAATCGTCAGGCTCGTCTATCAAGCCGATGCACATGCAAGGCACAAGGAGCCTGCGCGCCTTTGCATTGAACATCCAATGGGCTAATAGGTGAATCGCCCATGCCACAAGGTGGCGCCAGGCCTCTTCGAAAAGGTGCACCTGGACAATCATGGCACCCTCGATACGAGCCATCGACGCGACCTCGGTGCATCGCATCTGCTCGGGCCAAGTCATCCTGGACCTGTCCACCGCAGTGAAGGAGCTCTTAGAAAATGCCCTGGACGCAGGAGCGACTGCCATCGAGGTATCAGACCGGAAGTGCATGATGAGTTTCACGCATCTACACCCAAAGGACCCACCCCAAGGACCCAGCGCATACAAATTAGACTGATGCCAAGGCGTCCAGTGTGGCTCCCTGTGCACACACGCGCCGCTGTCCAAATATTCATCAATAGGTGAAGCTGAAGGAGTCTGGCTCTGAGCTGATCGAGGTGGCAGACAATGGGACTGGGGTCAGCCCTGCCGATTACGAGGCCCTCACCCTCAAGTACCACACCTCCAAGATCTCCCAGTTCACAGATCTCCAGGTCTGTGTGAATTTGATTCCAGCCGTCTTGAGTATATACGTGGAACAGGGGAGGTCTGGGCTGATGGGTCCATGGTACAAGCTGGCCCTCATTGCGCCCAATCCATCGTTCTGGCTTCAGTTCACAACCCCAAGCCGACGCGCCTCGGCCCACCACCAACCAATCTCAGGGCCTCTCCAGCTATGGGTTCCGGGGAGAGGCACTTTCCTCCCTGTGCACGGTAGCAGATGTCTCTGTCGTCACCCGCACCGCCGGCGAGGCGGCCGGCACCCGGCTGGAGTTTGACGAGCGGGGCCGGCTGGCGGGTCGCGCCGCCGTGCCGAGGGCCGTGGGCACGACGGTGGCGGTGCGCAACCTGTTTGCCCGCCTCCCCGTCAGGTGAGAGGGCTCGTGTTGGTCTGTGGTTGGCCATGAGGCGCACGATCTGAGGAAGAGGGAGATTGGAGATTGAATGTGCGGGCGGGCGGGCTGTGCGGGCTGGGATTTGGGAAGTGGGGAGTTGGAGCAAGCACACCACTCTCCTCGTTCGGCCGATCAACCTGCTACCTTGGAAACCCCCGTCTCCCCCCTTTCCTCCCGCCCACATTATTGCCCAGGCACCGTGAATTCAAGGCCGGCCTGAGGCGCGAGTTCTCCAAGCTCACGCACTGCCTGCAGGCCTACGCGCTGGTGGCGCGTGGCGTGCGGCTCATCGCCACCCACCAGCAGGGCAGCGGGCCCCGTGCCACGGTGGTGGCCACCCAGGGCTCCACCGACGCCTGGAGCGACGTCATCGCCGTGTTTGGGCCTAAAGCAGCAGCAGGCCTGCAGACCTTCTCCGCCGACCTGTCCGAGGATGTTTGTGGTGGCAGCGCAGATGCGGAGGAGGGGCGGGAGGGTGGCACTGAACAGACCGACCCCTCGTTCAGGGTCACGGGGTACGTGTCGCGGCCGGGCATGGGCGGCCGGATGCAAGGTGCGGTGGATCGAGGGATGGTTGTGTTGTATGCGGATGGACCATGTCTCCGCCAGCCTGGCACGTCAAGGGCGGACGAGGGCGTCAGGGCCAGGCTCGGTCAGGGGGGGCCAGCTGAAGCCTGGCAGGAGGATAGTAGGTCTCGGCCATGAAGGGGCCCATGGCATGACCTCGGCCGCCCCCTGCGAGAACCCCCCCCATCTTGGCATGCAGAGGTTGTTGCGGGCATCGTTCCCTATACATCCCCCGTCCAGTGCAATGCCCCCTCCTCAGCCCTGCCCTCCACCTCTTCCCTCCCATTGCTGCAGGCGAGCGGCAGTTCTTCTCCCTGAACGGCCGCCCCGTGGACCTGCCCCGCTTCGCCAAGGCCCTGAACGAGGCCTTCAGGTCCCTCTCCAGCCAGGCCAGCGCCGACGCGCGGCCCTCCGCGGTGCTGGACCTGGCGCTGCCCACGGACGCCTACGACATCAACCTGGCGCCCAACAAGCGCCAGGTGGCGCTGCACGGCGAAAACGCCCTGCTGGCACGGTTCAAGGAGGTGCGGCTCCGAGGGAGGAGGTCTGTTTGTGGCTTTTGTGGGTGGTGTGGGGTGAGGTGGGGGATTGACACCTTGTCATCCAGGCGCACAGGATCTGGAGCAGCTCAAGTCACTCTGCACATCTGTCACCACCCTGTGTGTGAGAGCCGTGTTGGATTCCTGGCGCGCATACCCCTGCCCTGAAACCAACCACCACGCTCACACTTCCCTCCAGCACCAACCTGGCCCACCCCCCGCAGGCGCTCCAGGCCTTGTGGGAGCCGTCCAGGCACACCTTTGCCGTGAATGGGGCGGGGAAGAGCGTGCCCGGGCCCCTCACCAGCGGGCTGCATGCCGTCAAGCGGCAGCGCCTCTCCCTCACCCCCCCCAGCCAGGACAGCCAGGGTGGGGACGGCGCTGGTCATGATGACGATGAAGAGGAGGAGGAGGGAGGGGAGGAGGAGGAGCAGACCGCTGGGCCGGGCAACACAGGGAGGCCCAGCGCCCTCGGCCCCGGGAGCCCCGTCGCGCCGGGCCTCGCGTCGTTCGCCATGCCAGGGGCAAGGAGCGGGAGGAAGGCTGGCTCAGGCGCCGTGACAGCCGCCCCTGGCAGGGCGGGGGAGCCTGCCCAGAGCCTGCCAAGGCCGATGAGGATGGGCCCCTTGGCCGCGTTTGGTTTCCTGCCCACCCCATCTCCACCAAGTGGGCTGGCCAGGCCCGGGGGCACAAGCGTCAGCGACCCCGAGCCCATGTCTACACAAGACGGCTCAGACCGGGAGCAGCCTGCAGACGTGGCAGGGGTCTGTGCTGCCACGCTGACCAGGGCGGCAGCCCAGGGCCCTGCGCCGGTCCATGAGGCGGCCCAAGGAAGCCTTGGGCAAGAGGAGTCCCAGCCCTCGGAGAGTGATGACCAGCCAGCCGAGCCGAGCAGAAAGGGGCTGCACCCGTCCCCCCAACCCTCTCAGGCCGGGGACCCTGCGACGCCAGCAGGCCTGGGCGCCGCAGACACCGATGGCGACCTGTCTGAGGGGGATGACCCCCAGGTGGAAATGGCGGAGCAAGACACGGCGGCTCAGGAAACCGGAGGGGTCAAAGGGGGATCAGAGGACGAGGAGGTGCCGCCTGTCTTCACGCCGCCTCTGAGCCGGCAAGCAGGGCCGCTTAAGATGCGTGTGGACCTGGAGGCTCTGCGGCGCAGGAGCGAGGAGGCCCGCCGGCAGTCAGGCCACAGGGAGGACACTGGGAAGAAAGCGCGCTTCCGGGCCGCGACGCTGCAGAGGTGTGCTGTGGCTGCAGCAAGTGATGCAGGGACTGACACCGCCGACCCTGCCGCAGGTGACTTGGCGGAGGGGAGAGGGGGGGCCTGCCATGGCATGGCAGGCTTGTGAAGGCTGGGGGAACCGAACGCGGGCCTGGTGTCAAGGGCGCAAGGAGGCGTCGCAGTCTTTTGGCCAGATATCTGCTGGTTGTGGCGTTGCTGAAGCCTCAACTTGTCATCCATGGTAGTGCCTTGGACCCCTCCCAAGCCAGCCCACTTCCCCATTATCCTCCCTCCCCAACACAGAGCGTGAGCTGGAGCGTGTCTTTGTCAAGGCCGACTTTGCGCGGATGCAAATCCTGGGGCAGTTCAACCTGGGCTTTATCATTGCCCGCCTGGGTCGGGATCTCTTCATCATCGACCAGCATGCCTCTGGTGCGGGTGCCCGATGGACTAATTTTGCTTTGCATCACAGTGCCCCAAGACATATACCAGGCTGTGTGGGTATGTGCCATTCCTACAAGAATGGATTGGGTCACGGTCCGTGCCGAGGAGAGTGCTCCCTGTGCTCCTCGACCAAGCCGCCACACCCATACCCCTCTCCATCTTCCAGACGAGAAGGCCAACTTTGAGCGACTGGAAGCTTCCCTGAAGCTGAACTGCCAGCCGCTGCTCCAGCCTCGGCGCCTGGAGCTTGCCCCCCTGGAGGAGCTGCATGTCCGGTGAGGCAACGGGCCCTGCCATTCTGTCTGCAAGTGTTCCAAGCTCCTAGGAGTTTTCCATGTGAGACACAGGAGCACATTCTATCTGCAATGGATTGATCTGCTGACCATGCTCAACGCATCTGACACTCACTTCCCATGCTCCTGTATGTGCCAGGGAGAACCTGGATGTCTTCAAGGCCAATGGGTTTGAGTTTGTCGACGATGCACAGGGTCATTTGGCCCTCTCGGCTGTTCCCTTCAGGTGGGGAGCTTGTCGACGTCCCTGGGATGGGTCTCATGGGATCTCACGCATGAATGGTATTGACCTCCGGTCCTGCTGCAGGGACGACCAGATCTGCAGTGACACTGTTGACCAGCGTCCCAGTCCTGAACTGTCAATCAATAATCCCCATCTCTGTATGCAGCAAGGGGGTGGTATTTGGAGAGGCAGACGTCCAAGAGCTCATAGGTCTGGTGGAGGCAGGGCTGCATGCCGGCACCCCTTCCAGAACTCCCGGGAGCCTACTCCGGCCCTCCAGGTGGGTTGGCTGGGGGAGCTCATGGGCCGTTCCAGCCCCTGAAGTTTTCACATTTAAGATGAGCTGACCACTATCGAATGCAGAAACTGATACAGACTCTTTCTGAAGACTTGCGTCTCGCTTCACGCATCCCATGCGTTGGCACCGTTCCCACAGAGTTCGGGCCGTCCTGGCATCCAGGGCCTGCCGTTCTTCCATCATGATCGGGAAGCACCTGTCCCACAGCACCATGCAGCGAGTGGTGAGCACCCTGGCTGGCCTCAAATCGCCCTGGAACTGCCCGCATGGGCGCCCCACAATGCGACACCTGTGGCTGCTGCCCGATTGATGTAGAAGGGCAAGAGCCCTCGGTCTGGGTGCATTGGGCCCTCTTGCATACATTTGGGGCATCTCATGCATTTGTTTCTACAGGAGCAGCTGGATCGCACCGGGGACTTTGTGTCCAGAAGCCATTGCTCGGCCTGGGGCAAGTTTGGGAGGAATGAAGCACGAAGCATGGATATTCGACTTGGATTCAAGAGCAATGCGGACCCAGAAAGTGTGCTCCATCGTCCACGTCATCATCCTCACAAACGATGGCGTTTCGGGATGGCGGCGCCAGCATTTGCAAGCTCGAGGGAACATAGGCCGTGCGATTCCCGAGCAAAAAATCACGACTTTTCCAGAAATGAGAATTACAGTAGACAAACTCTTAGTGAAAGGGCGCAATCGTCTCAATTCAAGTGGTGACCTCATTCCAGCCTGGGATCGTCGAGATCCGAAATTCTGCGCGACTTCTCCGACATGACCGTACAAAACATGACGGCGCTGGCCCGATCGTCCCACAGGGGCACGATGGCCACCTTTGCAGAGTACAACCGAGGGAAACGGTCACTTCCTGTTCCAGCGATAGTGGTTCCAACCAATGAGCTTGTGAAGCCTCATGAGAAGGAGTCGAGGTGTGTTCTGGGGAATCTGTAGGTATCTACAATGGCAGGGTGGTACCCGGTTGAAATGCCCCGATTCACCCCAAGCACGATCCGGCGCAGATTCGTCTTGCCGGTAAATGATTCTAAAGATACGAGTCCGACTTATAAAATAAAAGGTGTCTGTGGCGGTTGAATGGTTCATCAAGCCACAGTTGCTCTCTTGTGGGACGGTCAGTGCTCACCTCCAGCTGCATGCACATTATCCGCACACCAACTCATCCAGTCGCTTCTTGCCGTAGAATCCACAGATTTCGCCAATCTCGGGTACAAAGTGGACTCCCCTAAAGTCAAGGCTTTTCAAGACGTTGCTGCTGAGCTCTACCCTAGGTGAGAAAGGATGTGTCTGACTATGAGAATGACCCAAGAAAATGTGTCGCTGCCCCGCGCAGAGCTGTGTCTACAACGGTCCGCATCAGCTGCAACACCCTGGCAAACTTCGAAATGGCCGGACTACAGGCAACGGCATGCACTGACGCAAAAGCAGGAGATCTGCGTCCTCGGTCACCAACTCCTCCTCAAACTGAAGAAGCTTCGAGCCACCGTGGAGGAGGCGGCGGCCAGGAACATTACCCTGCTCAGGTCCGCCTCCTGGAATGCCATTGTTCAGGGCCCAGCCCACTCGACGTCTATCTCTTCCAAGTCTTGTATCTGGAGAATTTCCATGCCGCAATGCTCTTCTACACATCCCTGCAGGCTACCTCATTTATTGATTACGCTAGGAGACATCCCAGTCTCAGATCTGCCTCAACATGCACAGATAGGGGCCGGCTTCCGGGACATAAAGGACATTGCAAGCCATGCAGGCATCCGTATGACGTTACATAGTGACATCACCACGAGTCTCGCAAGTCCTCATGAGGCCGTTTTACGTTCGAGCGTCGCTCGCTTGGAGGCTCTCCATCAAGTCAGTATCGATGGGTTGGTGGCCCATCGTTGATGCAAGTTTAGAAATCGAATGGACACTCGAATCATGAACGCCGCTTCCATGAACAAAGTATATACGTGCATGTCTTTTCGCCCTCCCCGCTCAGATGATGGTCCTAATGGGGTGCCGCCCGGGGGTCTACAACAAAATTGTCATGCATGTGCGGGGATTCCCTGGAGACAAGGGCGGCGCTCTAGATCAGCTGGAGAAGAATCTTCGGTGGTTGAGTCCCGGCTGTCGAGCCTCGATTGCAGGTGGGTCACTATGCCGAGGACACAATTACTCAGAGGGTGAGAATGATGGGCGTTTGCGTGGTAGCCATGTTGTATTTGTTAGCTGACAGCATAGATTGCAATGCCATCTCCGATAGACGGCAATCTTCACAGATGACCTCCACACCATCCCGCATGCAGTTGAGAACGACGAGTTCAAGGGTCAATTCAGTATCAAAGACCTTTTGCCATTCAGCCATGCCACGGGTGTGCCCATCGTCGACGACCTACATCATCATCCCCTGAACCCAGGTGAACAACAAAGTGTTGCGCGCTGCCTCTGAGGGAGTGACGTGGGCGTCAAGTCATTCCATACAGCATCCAGGACTGCAGTTACTCCAGTCACACAGTCTGCCACTCCAACTGGCTCCTGAAATACCCACCAAGGATCCCCTTCTCGCATACAGATGGCATGACGGAGGAGGAGGCATTCCTCGCGGCAACAGACACCTTCCACAGAAGGGGCGAGGTGCCGGTGGTACACTACAGTGAAACAGATTGGAACAAGAGGATTCATTCCCATGCAAAGTACGTGAAAGGACCCATCAACTTGTTTGGACGACGAGCAGATGTCATGGTCGAGGCTGGAGGTGGGCTGACTGCGCTCCTGGCACTGCGTGGTGACATCCCTTTTCCAGGCGGCCCAGGGTACACATAGTGGGTCCTTGGCAATTTATACTACAAAACTATGTGACTAAATTTCCAATGACTGCAGATGAATTGCTGTCGTTGAATAAATGTTCCATCGAGGGTTTTCAGAACATCGTGTACAATCATCAAAGGGAACATGTTTATGAGGTCGTGTTGGAAGGTACTGCCTATGGTAAGCTTGGACTTCGGGGCTCACGTGCTCGTAGCCACTTTCATAATGAATGCCTGGTTCCCTATAAACAGGACCAGTCAAGACGGCAGGCACTGCCAATTGCACAGAAATGTCTCGTATCGTCTTCTGGGAGGTGTGAGCTTACGTTGCAGTCGCTTCGCTATGCGAACACCTTCATCTATTAACACGATAACTGTTGATTATCGTTGGTAGACATTTGTCCTCCCGTGCAGTTCAAACAGCTAGTCCTCGAAGCTGGCGCGAAGTCCCTCCATGTGGGCCAGGCAATACCTCCAATTTTCGGGAAACACCTCCAACAGCGATTCGATGACGGCATCCCCGTGCATTAAAACATATCAAATCATTACCTAAACGAAGTAGCATTCCGAAGGAGCCTGCACCATTCTTTGATTCAGTAGGGCTCCACCGACACCTGTGGCCAGCAGCAGAGCCCTCTCGTTGTGCCCGAGTGGTCCTGGTGAGCCGATGGTCGTTATCCATGTTGAGTCGTATCATTATTGTGTGTGCATGACTAAAATCAGATATTCGCATGTCTCGCAGGCGAGTTTGGCGGGTGTGGGGCTGGCGGGGCTCTTGAGGCGCGCGCTTGCCCTCTGTGGAGGCTCAAGCCGCAAAGGTGTGTGGCTGCACATTATGCTGACACAAGGGGAATCTCATGACTCAAGGCATGATGTGATTATACTCCTGTGACATTCTGTTCATGCATCACCTCGCTACCCTTTTGGATGTGTCAGGCCCCTCAAACTTAATCCTCCTTTTGCTTCTCGAGTATCCTCAGGAGGGCCCTGTGTGGGGCAGTACCTCACACATTCATACATGGCCAGAACACGTAAGACAACATCATCAGCTGCATCTTTAGTTCAAGACATAATGCTTGATGTGGAGCTACCATCAGAGTTCTGCACCGAGCCACCCAAGTCAAAGTCCAGGAGACTGGCACCCAGAGCCTCTGTTCCACTTGTAAAGTCAGAGGACTTGGGCGGCGCTCTAGATCAGGAGAACATTCCAGACCATGCCAGCTCGGTGAATGGCATCATAGAGCCAGTGCCAACACCCAAAGCGAAGAGGGGCCGGAAGGCCAAAGGTGCGCTGAGATCGTGAGCATAATTTCATGGCGTCCCTGGTTGCATTTGGTGGTCATTTTGTAGGGTATGCAGATGATATGCTGAATTGCCACCCACCTCTGCCACAACAGAGCCAGCAGTGAAGGGTGAGCATCTGGAGCCGGAGGGTAGTGCAAAGAAGAAGGCGCCGAGGGCAGGCAAGGCTGCAGTAAAGCCAGATCCGGAGCCCCACGTGCTGGCAGACACAGAAGGCAGCCCGTCGAAAATAACAAAGAAAATCACCCAGCGCGTCAGACAGAGCATAAAGGTGGAAGTGAAGACGGAAGACTCGCTGTCTCTGGATGACGCAGGAGCAAGTGTCGAGGTGGCAGCCACGCAGGTGGTGAAGAAGAAGGCTGTACGCAAGAAAAAGGAGCCGGATCCACTCCCGTTCACGGGTGAGAGGTGGGAACGGTAGGGGGGCAGCTTTTCATCAGCTGATTTGTAATGTTCTGTGCTGAAGGCTTCCCTTGTTTTCAGGTCGTGCTGCTCTGCCCTTGCCTCACACCCTCCACACTCCTACACAGATCCCACGCCAGAGCTGCTGGAGGGGCTCAAGGATTTTGTCCCAGGGCCTCGGCCCATTCCCAATTTGGGGTATGCCTGCCTGTGCTGTGCTCTGCGTGAGCTCAAGCCTCCCATCTTCACCAGCAGGTGAGTCAAGGGGTGCAGAAGGTGTGTGTCAAGTGTCGTTGGAGCATCACCCCTGCCACCCTGCAGCTTGAACCAGAGCATCATACTATCCTGTAAAGGGACCTCATCAAGCGGACGCTGGATGAGAAAGGGCTTCCATACCTGGGGGAGCTGTGCCTGGCCAACTCCAGGGATCTTGCGCGCCTGATACAGTGGAACCAGGAGCATGGCATCCGCTTCTTCAGGTAAGGCTGCTGGGCACGTAGGCGGAGTGTGGGAGATTCCTACTCTGGACCCACCGCACCACGCTCGCTGGTGTACCTGTGCAAGGACAGTGGAGCCTTGATTCTGCCCCCCCCGGCAACCATTCCCGCTTTCCCCAGGATGTCCAGTGTGATCTGGCCCTGGATGGGGTCCTTTGACCCCAAGGAGCTGCCCCAGTATGAGGAGATCAAGCAGGCCCTGGCCTTTGCCGGGAAGCTGGCGAGAGCCTACGATCAGCGCGTGACGTTCCATCCCTCCCACTTTGTGAAACTGGGCGGGCCAGTGGAGGCGCTCACCCAGAAGAGCATCAACGAGCTGGAGGGCCATGCACAGGTGATGATGTGGGAATGTCTTTTCTTGGGCGCGCACAGCTGGGGAGTTCCCAGCAGCAAGATGGGGAGCGGTGCATGTGCATGATTTGGTTGTACCAGCACAGGATTCCTTTATTTTCAGAGCGACTATGCAGCAGAAATAACGAGACTCTGCTCGAATTTTTGGGAGTACAGACCCTGGCAAGGCAGCCTCCACTTATTTCACAAACTTCTCAGTCCCACCCTGCTCAACACACATCCCTCAGATCCTGGACCTCATGGGCTACGACACCCCCTCCGTGTGGAACAAGATCAACATCCATGTGGGGGGATCGTATGGCGACAAGCAGGCCACCATGGAGCGATGGGCGGCTGCCTACAACCGACTCACACCCAGCTGCCGTCTGCGCATGACAGGTGACTACCAACAATCATGTCAAGGGGTCCTGCTTAGAAACTGGGCCTGATGCTCGATCCAGGCAACCCAATTACATTCTGCGGCAGACTCTGCGCGCCAGCCGTGCATGCTTTGCTGAGCCATTTGAGGTGATCTGCATGTGAGGCGGGTCGTCAACAAAGCACTCCATTCTCTATCGCAGTGGAGAACGATGACCGGCCCAACTCCTACAGCGTCAGAGACCTGTTGGAGTTACACCGCCTTTGCGGGGTTCCCATCGTCTTTGACTTTCACCACTGGAAGTTTTGCGAAGGTGACTGAGGGTTTGGGGTGCTTATGTTTCTGGTAATGATGGTGGTACGGGTATGACATGCCATATGTTCCGTTCGTACCAGCAGTGCATGCAGATCCTGGCACTCATCATCCCTGCCCAAACTTTGCCACCTCAGGCGACATGACTCAGGAGGAGGCGCTGCGGGCAGCAATCGCCACTTGGCCCAAGGGCATCAGGCCCGTCGTCCACTGGAGCGAGAGCCAGGAGGGGCGCATCCCGCACGCCCACTCAGACTACATCAAGGGACCCATGAACCTGTATGGGCTTGAGGCCGAGGTGGACGTGATGATCGAGGCCAAGGCCAAGGAAAGGTCCCTCCTCTGTTTCAGAGATGGGCTGCCCATCCCTGCAGTGGACATTCCCTCTGAGGACCCTGGAGCGGGACGCAAGGCTGCCGCAGCAGCGCCCTTTCTGGATGACTAGTGTGAATTCTTTCAGGCCGTTGGCTAGGTTTAAGATTTGCACCTTGTAAGCTTACAGAAGTAAATGCCCACACCGCCCATGAACTTCATCAGGCATTATTCGCGAATCGGACTTTGCATCGCCCGTGCCTCGCGTAACAACGGATGCAGGGCGAGGCGCTTTCCTCTTTTCGAGTTCCGAATCACGCATAGCAGCTCGCGACGGATGCTCCATGGAGGGGATGCGCGCGGACGCAACGATGTGACGATCGCCCCGCCAGACCTGCGCTAAACACAATAACACAGGTCTCTACGGTAATGTCTTCCGTCGACGATGGGTCGGAAGACCTTTACGGTAATGCCACGAGCAGGCTTCGATACGAGGCGTACAGGTGCATGGGTGGGAACAGCAGTGCATGGTGCACATGCATTTGATTCTGTAGATTCCTCGAAAACGAAGGCTCACCCGTCTCCTGCCTCCGCACGTCCAGCCGATTGCAGGCAGCCGCGGTGGCGTTTGGAGAGTCCCTCCCGATACCTGAGATCGTGGCCATAGGCGGCCAGAGCGATGGCAAGAGCTCCCTACTGGAAGCTTTCCTCGGGGTGAGCGGAGTTTCGTTCCGCTGGGACAAGCGGGCCACCTTGTTTCGATTGCATTCCAGATTGCAACTCGCTGCTTGCCCTGTCACCTCACAGCCCCCTCACCATCCCTGGCAGTTCCGCTTCAACGTGCGGGAGGTGGAGATGGGCACTCGGCGCCCCCTCATCGTCCAGATGGTGCACGACTCGACGGCAGAGGAGCCCCGCTGCCGGCTGAAGGACGAGGAAGGCGAGGAGTACGGGCCAGTGATCGCACCACCCTCGGCCGTGGCAGACGCCATCCGGGACCGCACCGCCGAGCACCTGGCAAAGGTCGGGGGTGCGGTGTCCAGTGTGCCCATCGTCATGCGGGCCGAGTACGCCTACTGCCCCAACCTGACCATCATCGACACCCCTGGCTTCATCCTCAAGGTACCTGAGACTGGGGTTTCTGTCGTTGTTGCAACCCCGAGTGGCCTTGCGTTTCGTTGCGACACGGGGCTAATTCCATGCAACTTCCTCAGCTCGTTGCAGAGTTCTATCGTTGTGACCGCCTCCCCACCATCCTCACCACCTTGCACCCTCCGCCTCGCAGGCTCGCAAGGGCGAGGCGGCCTCCACCCCCGACGACATCCTGGCCATGGTCAAGGCGCAGTGCGCCCCCTCCAACCGCCTCATTCTCTTCCTGCAGCAGTCCAGCGTGGAGTGGGCGAGCAGCCTGTGGATGCATGTGCTCACCGACGTGGACCCCGACTTCTCCCGCACCGTGGTCGTGGCCTCCAAGTTCGACAACCGGCTGAAAGAGTTTGGGGAGCGCTGGGAGGTGGACCGGTACCTGGCGGCAGCGGGGTACCTGCCGCCCAGCGTGCAGCCCTTCTTCATCGCCCTGCCCAAGGTCATCCGGTGTGGAGAGGGGGGGAGGGTGTTCCTTGGTTCAGAGGCAGGCATCCTCGGCATGTCATTGCTTGATCGTCACATGTGCAGGGTTCTGGGTGGGCTGATGGGATGCAAGCTCTGATTTGGGGTGTTGAGCCCCCCCTGAAGATGCGGCAGCGGGCTGGAGGCCAGGTGTTCAGGGGACGCGGCGGGACCCCCTTGCCACGAGGGCTCGCATGGAGGCAGGCCCTCCATGTGCTCCCAGGGGATCAGCACAGGTCCGACCCTGGTATTCCACAACATGCACTCTTGCAGGACCGCGGGGCGGTGGGCTGCGCGGGCGAGTGGCGCGCCTCCATCCAGGGCGTGGACGCCGAGGTCCTGCGCGGCCTGCGGGAGGGCGTGGCGGGCGGGTTCGACGAGGAGCGGTTCGGTACCCGCGTCGGCTTCGCCGCCCTGCGCCGCTTCCTGGAGGCAGAGCTGGCGCGGCGCTACCGCGCGGCGGCCCCTGCCACGCTGGCCGCGCTGGAGGTGCGCTGCGCCGCGCTGCGCGCCGACTGCGCGGCGCTGGACGGCCGGGTGCGCGCGCTGTGTGACGTGGGCTCGCTGCGACGCGCCGCGCTCGCCGGCGTCGTGGCCGTCGACCGCGCGGCGCGCGCGGTGCTGGGCGGCGGCTGCGACGCGTCGCCGGCCCGCCACGGCCGACCCGCCGCCCAGGAGCGCGCGGAGCGGGGGCGGAGTGGCCCGTGCTGGTCGGCGTGGGGGGGGGCGGCGGACGGCGGACGGCGGGCGAGGCGGATGCCCCAGACGCCGCCGACGCCACGGACGCCACGGGCGCGCAGCTGCGCCTATACGGCTCGGCCGCCTTTGCCCGGGCCCTGGCCGAGTTCCGGGCCGTGGTCCAGGCGCTGGAGCTGCCATCAGGTCGTGAGGGTGTCGCTGCGGGTGCATGCCTGGGCACGGGGTCGTGGTGGGTGTTTGTGAGAAGGGCTTGTGAGAGACCTGTCAAGGGCGTTGCTGTGTCTGATGAGGCAGAGCGCCCAGGACAGCACAGGCTCACCTGCAAGCACCAGGCGCAGGGCAGGGTGGCAAGAGGGCGGCTGCCTGGATCCCTGCATCGCATCGCCACAAGCCCCTGCGGGGAGGTACTTGTGACACCCTGACGGTGCACCCCCACAGCATCCCTGCTTCAAACCTTCTTGATCCAGTTCCCCAACTCACACCCCACCGACAACCTCGCAGTGTCGAGCGACGTGGTGGCCAATGCGCTGCTGGGACAGGATCAGCACGGCGGCCGGGCAGTGGAGGACGTCGCCGCGCTGCTGGCGGAGAAGGGCGCGCGCACGGCGCTGGGCCCCGCGCTGCGCACGCTGTGCGCGCGGCTGGGCGGCGTGCTGGCGCATGCGCTGGGCGTGGCGCAGGCCCTGGTGTTTGAGGGTGGAGCGATGAGCTCAGGGCCGGCGCCGCTGAGGGGGCTTGCGGCGCCGGCGGCGGGCCGGCCCCACGAAGAGCCGTGCGCCGCAGACCTGGGCGAGTGCGCGCGGTTCCGGGCGGCGATCGCCGCGGCCTGCGACGCGCTGGTGGCGCGGCTGGTGGACCGCGCGCGCGCGCTGCTGGAGCACGGCCTGGAGGTGGCGGTGGCGGGCGGCGGGCGCGATGCCTGGGCGCCGGGCCACCTGGACCTGCTTGGCGAAGGAGTCGGGGAGGAGGAGGGAGACGACGAAGTGGATGAGAATGCATCGCCCATGCACGCCCTGCTGGAAGGTGGGTGGGGTGGGGGGTGGGGGAGCATGCATCCCTCAGCCGGATTTGGGAGCATCTGTGCATGTCAGGCCCTGCTGTTGCCTCAGAGGGTACTCAGGGCCAGGCACCACCCAAGGTGTTGCGGCTGGGCATGCGGCGACCGAAGGCATGGATCGAACTGGGACCGTGCTGCGACCCATGTCTTCCTTCTTCAGCGCACAGTCTGGACGCTGCCTCGACCTTCCTGCTCGCCCCGCTCACAGACCCCGTGCCTTCGGCCGCCGCCCGCCCCCGCCCGCCGCTGTTGGAGACGCAGATGACGGTGCCGGAGACGCCGTCGCCAGAGGCCGCCGTCAACACACGCATGGCCGCGCGGTCGGGGCTGGGGCGCCAGGCCGTCATGGCGGCGGCGACCGCCGCGGCGGCCGGGGCTGGGGACGGGCATGACCCCGCGTGCTCCCCAGAGGCCAAGGGACGCGGGCCCAAGGCCGCACGCGTGGGGTACCGCCGCCAGCGCAACGCGAGCCTGGGGCGCCCGCTCAGCAGGCGCGGGAGGGCGGGGGCCCCGGCGGGCGCCGCCGGCGGCTCAGCCCACGCCCGAGTCTGCGCTGCGGTGCGCAGGATTCCTGGAGGGTTTGAGTTC